GCCCCTAGAGGCTTCTTTAACAAATCAATAAAGATATGAGCAAAACCTCACCTTAAAAAAAAAAAAAAAAAAAAAAATATATATATATATATATAATTTTTATTTAATGTAATTGTAAAAAAATCTTTTAGAAATATAATATAAATATATTAAAAATAAATAATATTTTAATAATATTTTAAGAATATATTAAAAATAATATAATAATATTATTAATATTAAAATCAGGTGTTATAATGAGTTAATCACTCTACAATTTAAAACTTGTATAATCTATAGTTGGCTTAGTCAAAAAGAGGCATTTAGATTTGGTTAGTAGTTTGGGTCTATAGGTAAGTATTTCTTCTTCACTTGTACTGTGGTTTTTCTTACTTGAGCTGTCTACTAACTTAAATCCTCAATTATCTCACTACTTTGGGTACTTGGACTATATGTATAACCTTAACTATCAGACTTCTTCAAATAGTTGGACTCAAGTGACTATGGTTGATCCTGATATAATCTTAACTATCACACTTCTTCAGATAGTTGGACTTAAGTAAACATGGCTGATACTGGTACTTTAGGATACAACAGCCAGATGGGATGTAACAATATTATGAGTTAAAACAGATAGTTACAAGAAGCAGATTTTTATGATCTGAAGACTTAGCAATTAGTTAATGTATTAAGGGAAATATTTATATATTTATTAATATATAAAGGATCAATTATTATTTTTAATAAAGCAAAGTATCTCCCTCCTCTTTAGGTTTTTTTACAGCATTTATTTATAAGAATATTTTATATACATTTTCTTGGTTTATATTATCATTATCTAAAATTATAATAATTACAACTACATTAGTGATCCCTTCATTATTGACTACATTATTTACTTTGCTCTTTTCATTAGAAAGAACTTTTCCTACATTTTGGTTCTTTTTGACAATTCTGATTTTTCTAGCCAGGTTATCCTTATTTAGTTAGCCATGTCATATAGCATATAACTTAGTCAGATAACAATATTTTCAATTTTATCATATAATAAAAATATAATTTCAAGATATTTAATATATAACTAATTTATTATTAAAAAATATTTAATTTATTACTATAAGATTATAGCAAAATATTTAACAAATAATTATTTTATTACAAAAATATTTTAAATAAATAAATATTATAATATTTTTAACAGTCAATTATTCTATTACAAAAATATATTTAATAGCTAATTACTTCATTGCAAAAAAAATATTAAACCTAGATCTAGTACAAAATTCTAATATCTAAAATCTTAACAGACTATAATACTGATATTATAAAATATACAATTAAAAATTTAAAGTCTGACAATAATTATTAATATGATTACTAATCTTTAAGTATTAATTATCATATGAGATTCTGGTTTTTGAGATTTTGAATATTAGGTTTTCATATTAGACTCATTAAACCAGATTTGAGTATTAACTAATTAACATCTACACTATGCTTATCTTAATATAGCATCCACTCTAACCTTAATGAAATTTTATTTGCAACTTATTATTTTGTAATATTTGCAAGAATTACATTAAAATATTTAATCAAATTTTACAGATAATAAATATACAAATTTTGCCTAACCTAAAGATCAAAAAAATATTAACAAAATCAAAAATAAGTGATTATTTTTTTAATGAGATTGGAGCTAAAAAGAATGAACATAAGTCATTCATTATCAAAAATTAGCAGAGAAAATAAGGCATCATTTACTATCAGAAATTCTGCGGTGATAGATAATAATAATTGTTCAAATTGATACCAAGAATGTGAAAAGGATAAAACATATAGCATTCATTTTTTATCAAAAATCTGCAGAGATAAGTGAAGCGGATTGGCCTTTAATGCTAGAACTTGTTATATCAATGCGCCGATCAGTTGATCTAAAAAATTATACATGTGACATATCGACTGACTGTTATTACTAAGCCAGTTTTTTAAAACGGACGAGAATTAAATCTTATTTTTTACTATGGAGGCCTACAGCTCTAATGAAACCTTCTATATTAGTTTTCGATTTTTTAAAAAGTACTCTAAACTGTACAAATAAATTGAAATTATTAACCAATAAGACGAACTTCTCCCTATGAGCTAAAACTCTAAAACATAAATGATGTCACTTTTGAACCAAACGATATACCGTACATTTGATTTAATTAATCATTGCTTATGCGATAAAAATACAATCAAACGAAGCTATTAGTACAAAATTTTAATTATTTACTTAGAATTTTATAGGAAAATTTTTATTAATTTATCTGGTGTTCTCCCAACTATATTCTATTTCTAAAGTAAGATTTAAATTAAAATTCAAGTTCAAAATCTTTTTTTATTATGTCACATTATATATTCCATGATTTTTTAAACATTTTTCTGTTCATATTATTACTTACATTTTATTTTATTTATTATCTGTAGATTTTTATATTTTTTCATATTCATAATATTCAAATACATGATTTACAACAAATTCAATAATTTTTATGATTTCTGACAGATAATAGTATAATATGAAACGATGTTCATTATATTTTTTATATAAATATAAAATTTTCAAAATAAAATTATGGGACACAAGGCACAATTTTTTCATGCAATGAGATGTTACAAATACGGTTATGTTCTTGTTTAGAGTTACAACAATTTAATGAATATAAATTAATTTTGTAAATACGTCGTACGACGTATTGGTATAAATTGTGCAATGTGTAAATGATTATTGTTAATTATATTTATAAGAAAATGCATTTAGCAGGTAAGGAGTTTTATAAAAAAGGATTGCAGTATGAACACGGTAATGGAGTCACGAAGGATGAATGCAAAGCTTTTGAATATTATCAGAAAGCTGCTAACCTAGATCATGTTGCTGGAATATTTCAAATTGGACAATGTTATTATTATGGTAGAGGTGTTAAAAAAGATGATTACATGTTTTTCTACTACAACCAAAAAGCCGCAGAAATGGGTGAATCTGCTGGGGCATATAACGTTGGATATTGTTATCGAAATGGAATTGGAGTTGAAAAGGATGAGCATAAGACATTCATTTATTTTCAAAAATCTGCAGAGATGGGAAGGGTTGAAGGAATCAGAGAAGTTGGAAATTGTTATCGAAATGGAGTGGGAGTTGAAAAGGACGAATATAAGGCATTCAATTATTATCAAAAATCTGCAGAGATGGGCGATGCTGCTGGAATGAGAAAAGTTGGATTTTGTTATGAAAATGGAGTTGGTGTCGAAAAGGATGAACATATGGCATTCATTTATTATCAAGAATCTGCAGAGATGGGTGATGCTGCTGGAACATGTAATGTTGGATATTGTTATGAAAAAGAAATTGGAGTTGAAAAGGACGAATATAAGGCATTTATTTATTACCAAAAATCTGCAGAGATGGGGAATGCAAATGGAACAAATAACGTTGGATATTGTTATGAAAAAGGAATTGGAGTAGAAAAGGATGGACATAAGGCATTCATTTATTATCAAAAATCTGCAGAGATGGGTGATGCTGGTGGAACAAATTGCGCTGGATATTGTTATCAGAATGGAATTGGCGTTGAAAAGGATGATCATAAGGCATTCATTTATTATCAAAAATCTGCAGAGATGGGGAATGCAAATGGAACAAATAACGTTGGATATTGTTATCGGAATGGAATTGGTGTACAAAAGGATGCTGATAAGGCGTTTTTTTATTTTGAACAAGCTGCTAATATGGAAAGTATTTCCTCGTTTAATAATCTTGGAAATTATTATAAAACTGGAATTGTAGTTAAAAAAGACTTAAAAAAAGCATTTGAATTATATTTAAAATCAGCTAAACTTGGCGATATTGGTGGAATAGAAAACGTTGGATATTGTTATCGAAATGGCATTGGAACGAAAAAAAATTTAAAAGAGGCGGAATATTGGTTTCGAATGTAAGTTTTTTTTTTTATTTATAAAAATTCATATAGGATTTTAAATGAATTATTTGTAATTATAGAGAGAAAAACAAATTTAAAGGTATTGTTTATTTTAATTGTGTTTTATTTTAATCAACCTTTATTTATAAGTCAAATAATGATAGAAATTGAGAAATTTATTGATTATGATATGGATGATAATGTTAAAAAAATATTGAAAAATGAGAAGTATCAATTATTATGGATTCCGTATAATAAATTCGAAGATACTAAAGAGGTTGGGAAAGGTGGATTTGCGACTGTTTATTATGCTAAATGTCAAATTCGATACAAGAACTTTTCTGATAAATACTCATTTGCAATTAAAAAAATCCATAAAGATTTTTTTGATGAGGTAGTATTATTAAATATATTTAGATAACATTATTGTTTGTTTGACATGGTCATTTTTTTGCCTTAACATTTTTGTCACGAAATGACTTCGTTTGCACAAAGTATTGTGTCAAAAAATATAACATGCTAATATTATACAAACAATAATATCGATAATAATAAATGGACATTTATTTCACTGGAACCCATGTGCTATTACGCAGCACATGAATGATATTAGTTCCGATGAAATAAATGCCAGTTATTTTTGTATGACAATATTTTAAATTTTATGATTTTTTTTTAAGTTAAAGGTGTTTTGTGAGATCGGCTATAAACATCCATCGTTTTTAAAATGCTATGGTTTATCAAGAGACAATTCGAACAATTATCTTCTTATTTTGAAATATGCAGAAAAGGGTTCTTTACGTGATAATCTTTATGAAGTGTCATCGATGAAATGGGAAGAAAAATTAAATTTATTAGGTTGCATAACATCTGATCTTGAAGCTATCCATTCTCAAGGCTATGTTCATAAAGATTTGCATAGTGGAAATATTTTACAGGATGATATTGACAATGCGTATGTTGCAGATTTAGGTCTTACATCATTTGAAAAAAATCAAGATGAAACTGTCGTTGGTGTCTTGCCTTATATAGCTCCAGAGATTTTATCAGGTCAGAAATTTACACAGTCTGCTGATATTTACAGTTTTGGAGTTATCATGACGGAAATATCGACTGGGCAGAGGGCTTTCGACGGTGAATTATTTGATGCTACATTATCATTACGGGTAATTCAAGGTGAACGACCTAAGATTGCTTTGGGTACACCAGAGTGCTATGTCGAATTGGCTAAACGATGCATGCATTCAAATCTGAAAGAAAGGCCTACCGCTAGATATATAAATGCAAGTGTAACCGCTTGGTTTGAAGATCTTGTGAGTGAAAGCAACGAAAGTATAATCAAAAAAAATTTCTTAGAAGCAGATAACATGAAGCCAAATCCTGAATCTCAAAAACATTCAAAGCATATGTACACAAGTAAACGTATCGATGTGCGAGAGATCACTAAAAAGTTTTCAAAAATGGCTATTAATGATCCGGTGGATAGTGAAATTTCTGATAATCTGAAAAGGTCTATAAGTAAACAAATTGATCTTGTTAACATCACTGAATATTATTAATAATTTTCTTAGAGTTTTATAATAAATAATATCATATAAACTTTAATATTTTTCTATCATAGTATTTTTCAATTGTGGTGTGTGTGGGCTAAATAATGAATTGAACATACATTTATGAAAAGTTTTATTAAAGAATTATGCGTTCAGTATTTTTTCATGAAATTCCTAATTTTGTGTAATAAATATATATTGTGTTAGACACGGAACATGTGATCCACGAGTTACCGATTTCTGCTACCAACATCACCTTATCGCACCGCAAATGACCAGCACTAACCTTATCGACACCATACGGCCAGCTTAATCGTTAAGGTTAGTGTTACGTGTTGCAGTGCCCCCGGCTATGAAAATCTTTTGCTAAGCTCTATTCTATTGTTCTATTTATTTATTGCTATATTAAAAATTTTATTCTATTCTAAATTCTATTTCTCTATTCTATTGTTCTATTGTTCTTTTCATCTATTGCTGCCAACACTGATTATAATGCTTATATTGCATATATTGATTATAATCATTATAATCAATATATGCGATATAAGCGATATCATCATTATAAGCGCGACCAAAAGCCGTCCGACCGTTACACGAAGTTGAATTTCTATTAGCGCCGATTTAGAGCATCTCAATATGAAGTTATAAATTATTTGATCCTATGATCGACTGACGAATTGGGCTTTAAATTATATCATATGATGTACCCCTGAAAAATTTATCACGATATACACATTTTGTTAAAAAAATTTTTGATCAAATTTAAGACGCTATAATTTCAGCGTTTGGGATATCGTAAATATGTACAAGGTTTGCGGCGAAGACCAAAATTTTAAAATTCGGTAAGGTTAGGGTTAGTGTCAAAGATGGGATAGTTTATATAGTAAAATTATTCAAAGAAAACTTCTTGTTTGAGCTATGAGCAATTTTTGGCAGAACGAACGTTCCAGGATGTAGTTATTCTTCTGGCTAATACAGTAATACTGTGATTACATAGTAATTACTATAATAATTAGAGAACGAGTAAGTGAAGTAAAGGTGATCATATTGTTTTGAACATGAATCGACAACGTAAGAAAGATGAATGTCTTATTTGTAATATTACTCGTAGACTAAGGGTGTTATATGATACCTGTTTATTAAGTTTTAATAGTGTTGGTTAGCGTTAATAACTCTGTGACTGTCTTAGACAGTGCAAGTACCTCATGCTTGACTATTAGGCTCCTCAGCTGCCGTATGAAGTACAAGGATCTCATGCTTGATCGTTAGCTTCTCTGAGACTGTAGGCAGTTCAAAGGTCTGTAAAAAGTAACGTTCACATTACTACATAATGCTATATAACCGATTTCGCTATATCTGTCACTATTTTTTAAATGCATTTCCCTATTTAAGAATATATTGTCTTAATTTGAATTATGCTATATGTTTTTTAGTAATTGTAAATATGTAATTGGTTGATTATATGGTGCTATATAATATGGCTATAATAAATGTGGTTAAATAATAGTTTAAATTTTTTGATAAATAAAAATTTAATTGTGTTAAAATTCTTTTTTGATACTACAGTGCTGTATTGTATTAAGAAAATATATCATTTAATATAAATCATTAAATATTAAAGGATTTTACTAAAACGCACCTATGGTGTTTTATACATATGCATGCATTACCTCAAAAAACTGGCTAATTAACCAGTACGAGGTGTTATAAGTAAAAAGATTCTACGCTACTGAAAACCCTTCCCAAAGCCTAATACTAATATAAAAACTAACACTAATATGAAAATTTTGAGTTAAAAATTTCTTTAACAAAACTTGTAGAAACTTAGAAAATTTAAAAAACATAATAAAAACATATTAATAGGTGCAAAATCATAGGTGCGTTTTATGATTGATACATACTGACACGGGCGAGACGGCGAGTCAGTCGCTTGACAGATGGATACGTCGTGTAACCTACGAACGGCTTAGTCGATAAGAGGCGGTTGGATTTGGAGAGTGGTGTGTTTATGATCGTAGGTTTTATAATATATTGTCACGAAAGCAGGAAAGTATTTGAGTCAAAGTGTATTGCAAGCACGAAAACTACTGCTCAGGTAGGGCTCGAAGCCTTTATTATATACTTTTATATTACATATGCGCTCCTACAGCTATTAAACATACTAAACTTATTATTTAACGTATACATTTTTAATGTCCTGT